ATCTTGAACCGTCAACACATTAATACTTATCAATAAATATACTGCTGAATAATTACAATCAACACCTGTAGTGGGGTTTCAATGAATGATTACAGAATCACAATATGGAGGCGTGATAGCTCAGTCGGTAGAGCAGTGGTCTGCGCTAGTGCCCTTTGGTAAGGCATTAATCATTCATACCAGGTCCCTCGGAGAGGACCTAAAGCCGTCGGCCGTCTGGTCGCTTACTTACAAGCATTTATGCTTTCTTAGCAGTCAGGTAAAATAACCACCACCAACCAATTCTAACTTTTTTTAATTAAAAAAAAAAAATTGGTTAGGGAAGCAGGGGTAATAACATGCTTCTTTCCCAAGAGAAATATGAAAATATACCCAAACTTCCTTATCATGCATAAATACTCAAATACTAGCAGGAATGAAACTGATGTTCCACTAAGGTAGGAGGGTCAAATCAGCTGGTTTTTGTGACATAAAATTAAAATTAAATCAAAACCTGTACGGAGCTTATTTACATTTTGTTTAACTTAGAAGGAGAAATTGGATTTACATAGAAATTTGGCATTGATATGCATCGAGGTTGAAAGAGCAATGGCGAGATGCAGTCTACTAGGACCCTACCCCTATACTAATCTGCTACTACATGTGCCTGACCTAGCGCTTGATTTAAAAATAAATACCAGTAATCAAAAAGTCTTTGGCTAGGCAAGCCCCAAGATATGTGTGCAGCTAGCTAGATACTATCAGAAAACGTACTGTCTGTTAAGAGCCAGAGGCCGTATTCAATTCAGTACGCAGATCAAATTAATATTTGACTAAGAATCGTCATTGGCTTAGTAATATGTCTCAACTCCTATTCAGATCATACCTCAGCATTCTACTTCAGCAAAAGACTTACTGATAAGCATTGTGACATCACATGGTTAATCTAAACTATGCAAAATTAATGCGTCGCATTATTAATTGTGCGCAGCTTAAGGTAACTGCTTATGATAACCATATGACTGCCGATATGGACCTCCAAAATAATTGGCTTCAGTCTGCAAGGGAACGTCTTAAAGGTAAAATGATTAGCCAAAAGCTCCAACTGAATATCACATTTGGCCAAGTATTTTATCTAAGCCAAGAAAACTTACCGGTATCAAAATACTCCTAATTCTGACATAGGTATTGAATTGAATACCGGCCCTGAAGGGCATTATCTCTGGGTAAAAATATCAGCGTCAACGCCGTTCTGGCTTTTTGCGGATGATATAGAGAATTTTTGCATACATTCGCAGCATCAGACCAACCAACATTGTCATCATGTGCATGACTTTTATTTTATAAGCAGCATTGCATCACATGCAGTGAAGGAAACTTAGAAATGAGATCAAAATGCAGCAAACAGTCGAAGTAGATTTTTACAAGGTATAATTATTTTTACTTCACAAGTACAAACAGTACTTCCGGGAACTCGGGGGTCGAGGCATACCACGTGAGCAGGTTTCTCATACCTTATAGTGTGCTGCGCAGAGTGGATTCAATAAAACAATCTATGAACCCATTTTGTAGTCCTGATTTGTAGGAATTTCTAAGCAAAATCCTTTAGTTTAGCCCTATAGTGGCTACAGTAGAAATGCCTTCATTCACTTACATAATATTTGGAAGAGGTCGATTAAAGTACCTCTACTATTAATATAGCAATCAAACAAATCAATAATAAAATTTGAATATTGTACAAAATCATTCAAAAAGTGTATACAAATGTTACATAAATCACTGTTACAGCTTGTATCTCTAATCATTCATCAAAATATTCAAAGATTTACTACATACCTTCCAATCAAATCTAAACTAAGTTACCGCATACAAAATACAATGATTATATACTAATTGAAAACTCGTTTACCATTTATATAAATTGCCACAGAGGTTTTTTCAACTTCAAGTTATAATTTAATAAATACATTTCAGAAATTCATGGTCAAAGGGGTTAAAATGACATATTAAGAGAGCCTTCATGATACCATATCAAATATCTCACTTGAATTCACCAAGCATTTACTTTCATTTGGTATTTCTCAGGATTGAAAAAAAATAATAGTCATAACCAATGAGTTACATGTACATACAATTACAAAATACTAATGATACATTATCTGTTTGTTAATCTCGCCACAAATCCATTTAGCAGAGAATCATTTAGAGTCTACCACAAAACACCGCAAATTCATACCTCATGCTAATACATATCACTAGTTGTACACAAACAAGAACCATCAGGAAATTAACCACATATACCACCAAATAAACTGTAACTTTCCTCACTCTTTACATGTGGGACTACACAAATTTGAGATGGATTACTTTTCCTCCCCCCTCCCCCCCCCCCCCCCCCAAAAAAAAAAAATACAACTGTCAATTCGCAGAGGGTCTAATCATCAAAAGGTAAATTTATCCTTTGGTTTGTGACTTTCTCTCGGGAGAAGGAGCTTTTATAGTTATATCATGAGATCCAACATTTTAAATTGATGTCTCTTAATCCATTGCATACATGTATTTACAAAACAAAAAATAGGGGAAATGGATAAGAATTCATATGAATACATTTAATAATGAAAACAAGCTTTTCCTTTGAACTGAGGAATGGAGAAAATTAAGTTTCAAAATGACTGAGATCTTGTTACTCAATGCAAAGAAAGGTCATCATTAAAAACTTTTTGGTGTCCTTTTACTTCAAAATTATCTGATAAAACTTGGACTTATAAGACCTATTAAACAGTATGCAACTTGGGTTTCCAGATGGGGTACATGGCAAGTTGTACCCCCCCCCCCCCCAACCCTCTGAACCCAGTGGCTGGATGCATATTACATAGCAAAACAGGGAACAAGGTATCCTGGGGGCATGTCAGAATTAAAAATTGGTTTTGCAACAATAAACAAAATAATTCAGCACTTCATTATAGAAAGTACACGGTAATCCACTCAACTACGCACAATCCCACGGTATAAAAATGTAAGGAAAGTATTCAAGCTCTACAAAAAAGCTTCATTTACCAAAGCAATTAACAAGCTTCCTCTTCAAATTTTCTCAATTTTTTTGCCATTTGGCACAATTTCCATCATAGGCCCTTGATAATGTACCCTAGCAGAACCTCCGTTTTTAAAAATCACATCTAAGTATCACATAGCACAATGAAAGACCACATACTACTCACAACTAAGATAAATAAAAATGTATAACAACGTAGTACTACTGGGTTGAAATAAGCAAAAATTGATTACACATTTGTCAATTTGGTATCATGTTATTAAACATATGAGGTTAAATAATTCAGATTTACATTGGTCTCTGTGATTGCGCATAAGATGATTAATATCCATATTTTGATAGTCATATATCAGCGAATTGTTGCCGACTTCGTATCAAATATGGTTAAACCAGTCCATGTAGCATGCTTGGTTATTGAATAATTGAATAACTAAATAGATAATTGAATACAATTAAAAATGATATGATTAAGAGCATACATAAGTTGAGTATAGGGGGATATGTGCAGGTAGGTTGGAGTTTAATAACCTTCTGTTGATACCTATCTCAACTTTGACCTTAAACGTATCTTACGCAGTGTCTCCACGTCTGTTCAAAGCCAGAAGGATGTTAACTCTGTGTTAAAGTATATAAGATGAGTTAGCACCCTTCTGGCTCCAAACCGACGACATCTAAAGGGGCATATCCAAGGTTTTTTGTCATCAAAAGTATCATTTCACTTGACCTTAGCCTTAGGTCTGGGGGGCGTTTCACAAAACTTGTCACAAGTGACATATGACAGTTATTATTATAAGCTACTGAAATCCTTGCTTCTGATTGGTTATCAACAGATTTGTCACTGATTTTTGTCATTTGTCATTTGAAAAAGGCTTTGTGAAACGGGTCCCTGATCCAAGCTCTTGTATGGTTTCTAAATCAACACTGTACACAACACGATCATCACACATGTAAACCTCTTGGATGTGGTCTGTTAGGTATGGAACAAAATAATGTGGAATTGCCCATAGACATGGACCCCATTTCACAAAACTTGTCATCAGTGACAAATGACAGCTTTTGTTATAAGCTACTGAAATCCTTGCTCCTGATTGGTTATCAGCAGATTTGTCACTGATTTGTATCATTTGTCATTGAAAAAAGGTTTTGTGAAACACCCCCTATTCTTAATTAACACTTCTCATATAACCCCTTCAATAACCACGGACCCATCCATCTAACTCATCTCTCACCTGAGCTGATGTAATTGCAATCAATTACACTCCTGGATTAAATGATCAATTTCTCTTGCTTGTTATGATTAAAATTTCTTTCAACTTCCTAGTTTCACATTTTAAACACTACACCTTTGAATGTTATATTGTAATGCATTTGAAACGTCATCTATTAAGTGTATTATGTATAAGATTCTCTAATTTTAAAAATGGATAAACTATGTTGCCCAACAGATCAGGGAACCTTATTTGGTAAATAAAGTATAGATACATATACATGTATGTACAATAAGGCCATGTAATGACTTTAAATAGGAATTTGGCAAGAAACTGCTCAATTTAATAGGAGATGATAAGACACACAGAGAAAAAAGGATGAAGATAACGCATGACTACAGGGCAGTGACAAATGCATTACAAGATGGATTGTACATTTGTTACATTGTCAACTTGCATGCTATAGCATAGCAAGCGTGAATATATAAGGTGGGTGAATACGTCTTAGACACCACACTGACATAACATGAACATGAAGATACATTGATTAAAGATGAACTTTCTTGTGCGGTAATCATCTCGGTTTCTCTGTCTACATGTCAATATGAAGTCCTCCTGCTTTAAACACTATCGACAAAACCGAGTCAACAAACTTACAAATTTAGGATAATTATTTTTACCATATCTAGCGATCTTCGCTTGTTCAGGACTCTCTGAAAGCATGTGCCAATAAGCTTGATAGTCATTTTAAGAAGAACAACTGCCTCCTATATCATATCTTTTTCCAAAATTAGCTGACTGGACAACTCTGCCAACTCATTGTTATCAACGAAGATCCAATTTCCTACTGTGAACATCAACATCAGCACTAGAATCTACCCTGTAGTAAAGACAAGTATTATTACTGATCAATAAGACTACTAGTTTCCAACAATAACCCGACATTAGACAAAACAAACAAAATGTTACTCCAAAGCTTCACTGACGACATAGAGTAAAAAGTCATTAAGATTTAAAACAAAGTCTAGACCAAAAATGAGTCTACATTCATGAGCTAGAAGTACATTTAAACTTTTTCTACCTCCATAAACTATTATTCACAGATAAATTTCTATAATAGATTTATATAGATTTACAGAAAAACTCCAACAAGTTACCACAACGTCCCTGAAGACACTTTATATTTGATTGATACTTGATTCACCTTTACTGTATAGTACAGTACTGACCTTGTACTTAGCCTTGAACTTAGGCTTGAAGATAACGTAACGCACAGTGAAAACCATGAGGTCACATATTACAAAGTCCTGAATCCAGAAGAAGGAGCTGTACGATATATTACGAGAAACAGCTGAAAGCTTTGGACCAAACTTCAATGCCACAAGTTTGTGTAGTCCCATAGATGCATTCCTGTGTGCAGTGCACAGAGCTTTCAGGAGGAGTGAGTAAGTTTCTGGTCATTTTGACCATTTCAAAACTTCACAATCTACACATATCTCTATGTGCTATATAATGTTGCAATGTCCCAATTGCTTCTTTCACATAGAAATTGCTTGACCAGGGTCCTGTCTTACAAAGAGTTGATATCAATCAAAACTTCTTTGCAATTGATATCAATCTCAACTATGTACATAAGAGATAGGAGACTGCAAACTTGCGATTGATTGTAGGAATGCAATTGATTGGGATCAATCGCAACTCTTTGTAAGACGGGGCCCTAAACTCAACTTTCATCTTTTAATCACTGAGACCCCAAGGTCTTTCCTCCCTGTACAGCTGATTGGGATGTGCAGGTGTACCGCTACACCAGGGAGTGTTTCACAAAACTTGTCATCAGTGACAAATGACAGTTTTTGTTATAAGCTACTGAAATCCTTGCTTCTAATTGGTTATCAGCAGATTTGTCACTGAGTTTTGTCATTTGTCCTTGAAAAAAAGGCTTTGTGAAATGTGTCCCAGGTTTCCCCAATTCTAGGGAGTGAGTGAGTTCTTCACTTCTTCATGTATTTAGGGTGGTGACACTTCTCCCGCACGTTGCCTCCATTTAAAGTCCTATCCGAGGGACAGAGCCTGTTCCCACTGCAACCTAGCGTGTGTCTATGAACAAATGTTGGGGCAGCTTCACACACCCCAAAGGTTTTCAATCCTCTGCCTCTGCTTGATGTGAACCAATGATCTTTGGTTTGACGGGTAGATGGTTTAGCAATTGAGCAAACCCGCCTCTGAAGACCTTTGCGGGAGCTGAAAGGGTACAATGTCTTGTCATGCAAGAAAGCCGTGGGAATCATCTTTGTAATTTTGTGGCTGCTGAAGTGAAAATATTCCTTTTATTAAGAGACATGTGAGTACTGATAAAGCTGACAAATAACTGAGAGCTTCAAATTTATTTTTTCTTCTTCCTTAAGGAAGATTATCATTGAAGTAATTTGATATGAAAATGGTTGGATGATCTTAATTGTCTTTCCAAGTTAGAATCATGAACAGAAATTTTTGGTAGTTTTTCAGTCTCATCAGCGCCTTTGATTAGGCAACTAGATATTGGCGCTTTATTAATTCCTGGATTGGATTGGATCTTGAATACCAACAGACAAATGGATCACTTTTGTAGCTGAAGCCTTTCAAAGCCTTACCTTTATCCTTTGTCATTAAGTTGGCATTGAATGCTATGAAGTAACACCATTCTAGCCCAAAACTGACGATATAGAAATGAGCAAATCATTCTTAACATTATATTACTAAAATCAGATGGGCACGATGGGAATGATACTTCAAAAATCTCAAACTTGAGTTAATGCCTTTCTGTATGTCACTGTAAGACAAAATGTATTGTGATATATACACTGATTGGAAGAAAAAAAAATGAAACTGATTTAACGTCCTTCTGTTTCTCATTGTATGACAATACTGATGTCTCATGCCAAACACAGAATTGGCGTATTTGTAGAGTTTAACACAACCATACTAAAACTATTACAGCCCTCATTGCACAATGTTTCTTTGGAAACGGTACCGGGTGAAGAAGTTTTGGAACCTCTGCGGACAACGCTTTCAGTCGATGAGCACCGTCTTTTCTCTGTTCATTCAAAGTCTTACAACGGATCGTAGGTTCGGTGTCAGCATTCTTACAACGATTCGTAGGTTTGGTGTCAGCATTCTTCCAAGTACCCGCCCCACCGGAGACGATACGTCCCCGTCCGCCATGTGACCGTCTGGCTTAGAGCGCCCTCTAGGAAGTAGAAGATGAACATGATCTCCCGGTAGAACCAGGCCAATGCATAGTCCACTTTGGTGAAGTTCAGGGGACCTCGCTGCGTAGGTGATAAAGAGGAAAGAAAGAAATAGAAGCATGAGAATATAAATTTGCAATCCACTGAAAGGTAATGTAAAGTTTTGGGAAATTTTGAAAATTGGATGGATAGTAATTCTTTATAATTTTGACATATTTGGATGCCCCTGTGGATGTATTATAAGCACTAACAAATTAAGCCCCTAAAACATTTCTGCTTTTGAGAAATTGAATGATCAAAAACTTACCGGTGCTCCCGGTAAATTTCAAATATTTCAAATAGCGTCTTGGGCCATTCCATGGTAGGTGCGACCATGAAAATCTCCAAATATGCAATTCTGATAATAATTTTCAAACAGGATTAGCAAATTGGTTGATTGTAGTCAAGAAACATTGTTTTTAAAGCTTAAGTAATATCAGTCTTGAGAGGGAGCTATACAACATAAAGAGTTTATTATTCATAATTTCATCACTTTGGACTCAATTTCAACCGCGACAACAATCATTGAATATTGTAAAATCGCATATGTTTCCAATATGTTCATTTGAACCAAATTCATGACCCCATACATAGAAAGAATGAGAAGAATTTTTATCTTCAGCAGAAATATTTTTATCCCTCTTAAGACAGGACTTTTGATGTACTAAATCGATCACACGTTCTTCAAATTTTCAACATTTTCGTTTTATTGCTACTCTGTTAGAATAAAATGTAACGTTTTTAAAACCGATATGAATATGGGCAATCACTTGGTCGACAAAAAAGGCCAGTTAAGATCGAAACACAATGATTTTTAACTTTTTAACTTTGTTGCCAATTAAAGTTTATTTCTCCTTCATGGCATCATTCATGGGATCAACAAAAATGAAAGCAATTTTTTGCCCTTTCTACTCATGCATCCCATATATTATTAGGGCTATGAATCATGACTATTGAGCTAAACCACATAATGTGGAATGACAGTCTTGAAAGGATTAAAGCCCCACTGCACTAGTTTGGCCAGGAGGGATTAGACCATCCTGCATGGCCACTGGCAGGTGGTTATCTCATCAAATCAGCTCTCGATGAGAAAAAGAGAAAAAGGGAATCATGGGGGACCAATGTTCACCGAATAGGCATTGTTTGCTATATAGAGGGCGCAAGTAGCTATAAGTAGAGCAGTGGGGCTTTAAAGGGTGAGGGCGAGAGATGCACTTACCTGGAGGACTTTGAGTTGAAAGTAGTCCAGGATGAACCAGAGAAGGGTGTGGCAGATGAAGATGATGCAAGGATCCCAGCTGAACAGGTGGTAGACCGCCCATGAGACAGCCACGCCCAACACCAGGCACTCCATTATGGGTTCCCCTATGAGCGTGACAGGTACTGTGCTTATTCTAACCATGGTCCACCTAGGTACAATAAACAAAATGTAAGCAGGTTTAAATAAGCCATCTATTCAGGAAAAGGAGGTTTAGTTCTTTCTTCCTTTAATAGGCCTATTCATCCCTCTCCAGTGTATAGGCCATGGACGAGAGATCTCCATGGTCGTCTGTCCTGTGCTTTCATTTCGAGCTGAATCCAGGTCTAACCCACTCCAGCAAAGCATAGAGAGTCAATGCTAATGCGTATTGACCTCTAGCACTGCACTACGTGTTAATAGGCAGCATTTGCTCACATGAATAGTCAATACACACATAATACACAAATGCACACAATCATGCCAATGCGGCTGTATGCAAAGTTTAACAGTAGATTTACAATTTTAATTTTTAAATTATTCTTTCTAAAACATTGGTAAGTTGAAAAAATTGTATTTTACTGCGATTTAGGTGTCATCAATAGTCACTAAAGTACCAATTTTTTGTGAAATCAGTTTTTGTACAGTGGTGTTCGAAATGTTAATACACAGCCAGGATTACAATGCAGCTATGTATGGGTCTAATCCATCTTTTTATCTCAGCCTGGAGATCTCGTCGCCAGGTTTTTCGTGGCCAGCCTCTCTTTGTCTTTCCCTGGGGATTCCATATTAGGGCCTGTCTAGTGATAATTGAAGTCGTTTCTGTTTTCTATAGAGGTTGACATATGACTGAGTTTTTTCTTATTCCAATTGGCATTAATCTTTTTTTTGTGTGTTTTATTGCTTCACCATTTCGATGAAAAATAGAAGTAAATGAAATTAAACTTTTTGAACATGAATAGAAATCATACCAAAGTTTACAAACAAACAATGACACAGTTTATAAGAAAAGGAAACTTTACAGGTTTTACCTTTGTGTTCCAATATTGATGGTTTATTTTAGTACCCACTGGCATCTTACCCAAAAAAGGTCATTCTTACCTAGTTAAATATCCAAGCAATACATTCACATCTTTTATTGAATGAATGAATAATTAAATAAAAATCCAATTAATTAAATAATACATATATTACATAAAATTCAGAATACAGGTTTAGAAGGTAGAGGTCATATTTTCTTTTAGTAATTTGTTTTTAAGAAATAAAGGATCTGTATGTGAGCCGAAATGAATGTTTTCTATTATTTTCATAGTTTGTTTTTGCAGTAGTGATATTCTGTTTGATTTTGTTGTTTGTGAGTTACTCCAAGATAGGATCCCGTAGTTAAGAGAAGGAATAGTAAGAGTTGAATAAAGGGTTAAAATCACTTTGTGTGAAAAATGTGTTTTTGGCTTATGAATTACACCAATGTTACTTGAGGAACATTACATGTATATCCATACCTGACCATTCTTTTCCTAAATGATGCTAATGACGCACTGCCTGAATTCTGCATTGCAGGAAATAAACTCAGCCTCTGCTTAAATCCACTGCAGAAGAAAAAGAAAATATCAAAGAATGAAAGTCAAATGAATAAATGATTTATATGCACATACTCATCAAAGATAGAGGGAGATGTATCGATAGACTGAGAGAGTGAGTGAGAGAGTTCTAACCAACTAACTGTAAGTTTTCATGGATTATCATGAATTTTCCTCCTGTAAAAAAATTGAGCATATTCCTTTTTATTTTGCTACATTTTAACATGATTTCACATATAATGATAGAAAATTCTTAGAGAAAATGTTCAAAAGAAAGAAATTCATTGCTAATCTGACAAAAACAGAAAAAGACTGTCGTTGGCAAATTCATCTTCTTGAGGTATGCAGGACATCTTATCACACTTTCCAATAGATCTTACAGTAACTACTATCACCACAGATCCATCAATCATATTTTCCTAGGACCCTTATCTATGAGGAAATAGGAAGCCAAGAGTCACGAGACAGGCAGCGTGATGTATACCCCTATTTTGCACTTGTCAGGTTTTTGACAGGAAAAGATTGGCTTATAAATCAAGCTTTTTTTTCTCCAATCAGCAAATGCATTGTTTTGCACCTGATCCAAAGTACGGTCCTGCGATACATGCTCTGAGCCTGAAGATGTCCATTTTCTATGATTCCGTATTTCCCAAATTCAACCATGGACAAAACCCTTTACAAAACCCTATACACATGGGCCCCTAAAATTTAAGTCTGAACACCTATATTTAAATTCTTTTTTTTTAAACATTGGGTTCATACATACAGACTGTAAAAAGTTCAACCCGGACCCCCTTCCAAAAAAGTAAGTGTGGAGCATTGCTTTACCTAAATATAATCCTAAAGATAACCCTAAACCTAGCTTCAAACCCAACTGCAAACCTAACCCTACATCTTTGATGGAAATAAGTCTGAAGCAATTGTCGCAGAAGCAAATCGTTCGTTCATACGAAGAACATCAAGGAGTTCATCATCTAAATAAGAATTCTTTATTAAGCCTACTGGCTGATTAGCCAACAGACTGATTAGCCAACAGACTGATTAGCCAACAGACTGATTAGCCAACAGACTGATTAGCCAACAGACTGATTAGCCAACAGACTGATTAGCCAACAGAAGCAAATGTAGGGTCCTCACAAAGTACAGAAAGTGAAAAGACAAGAGATGCATACTAGCCGTTAGTCTGATTTGACATTGTTTAATTAAAATACCCCAAAATCTCTTAATAATAATAATACTAATAATATTCCGCTTTCATATAGCGCCCAATACATCAATACAACAATGTGCTGAAGCGCTTTACAGATATATTATTAATCATAATGATGTGATTGAAATAGATGTCCTAAATTAATACAGTCTTTAAAAAAATGAAATTTGTATCCACATACCTTTTTAATACAGCTATACCCATGTAATAGTCCTCAGAAATGTACTTGGCGAATTCTACTAAGCCGCCCGCTTCTTCTAAGATTGATTTTCTAACAATGTTGAGCATTCCTGAGACACAGTTTACTCCAAAAACACATGCCGTTATGTACATCCGGGCATGTGCTCCACCAAAATAAACCTTTGGGAAAGAAACGTGAATAAAAAGGTGTAAATAAATTGTACTGTTACACAAGGTTTCCTTCTTACAGTGGTTTTGAGGTCATTTTGATAATTGACTCCAATTTTATAGGCCAATGAGGGAAACATTTAATGAGAATATTCTGCAAACCAAATGTGGCATTCCACAAGAATCTGTCTTAGGCCCAGTTCTTTTTTATTTACATGAATACTATGCCATTAGCCACTTTTTTTTCATTGACATGATTAATGTGCCTCATGGTTTTTTTAACTTCAGGCTCATTACCGACAATTCAAATCTATTCCAAACATTTGTTATCAGGTCAAGTACATGTTAATCACCTTAATATCTAACATTGACGAGAAACCAGCTCTGTCATGGGCCAAATGATATTATATCAGGTCAAGTACATGTAAATTACCTTATCTAACGTTGACGAGAAACCAGCTCTGTCACGGACGAAAGGCAGGCCGTGGACCATGCCCACAGTTGGTGACATCCTTGATACCATTTCAGTTAAAGTATCTGGTGACACTGAAAAATAAAAATATTGACATTTTATTGTTTCAAAGAAATTGTTTTCACAGAGCATTGTCTATTTGGCTATTCATACTGAGGGTCCTGCAAGTATCATTGGAAGAAAAAAAAAAACGAACAACCCATATTATGTCAAACATGTACATGTAAAACACATAAATATTGATAGTTGAAGAGCTTAGATTGAATACAATATAAAAGAGACAGTTGAGAACTGGTGAAAGTGAGACTGTGAGATTTCTCATTCTATGTCTTTCAGTAAGAAAGAACAGTAGATATGTCGCCTGAAAAGAATTACCCTTGGAATGCTTTTGAATATCGAATTAAGTACCACTAGGAATAGTTTCATAAGTTTGTGTAGTCCCATACATCCATATCTCTGATGATTTTTAGCATGATTCAGTCAACTAATTATCATTTTGATAATTTCCAAATCCTAAAGTTGAATACAGGTCCATTCCTACAAACAATCAGGATAACTTCTATACAGTTTCTTTCACATGAGAACTGCATGACCTATACATGTACATGTACTCAATATCACACCTAGAGCTTTCAAATATTAACTTTGTTGTGTTATCTAGAAGATAAGGCTGGATTTGTAATTCCCCTATGGGCAATGCTCTTGACCTAACTTGACCGCTATCTCTTGATTAAGCACGCCTTTTTTTGTTTGCTATTGTTTAGTTTTGTCGTTTTGTTCTGTGTTCAGGATTGTTTTAGGGGTTTTATAATTAACAGGAAATGGAGCCTACCATTCCACACTTTTAAAATCATATAACGAAACTGTTTGATTTGTGCACAAATCTATTATGATGTGGTGTAAAAACAAAGTGTCAAATTCAAATCAAGAGATATTCTTTAGCTGTGCAGAAAGGAAATGTTACCGTTTGCTTTTGATTACAATGTGTTCATCATGCATTAACAAATGCATTTGGAGAACAAAATATATTAATAATTAATAACAAATTTCATTTCCTGTGAGAAGTATCTTTCTTCTTCTTTTTTGTTTGTTAGGGTGGTGGAGGGGGGGGGGGGGTGGTAAACTTCCTTGACAATGATCAACTTGACAGAATTTTTCATCACAAAAAAAATGGTAAACTATCTTTACTGTGATTGGAATCTATGCAAATTTCATAGATGTGTCATCCTGTTGACAAGCATCAACAGTAGTGAAAGTTTGTCTAATTGCATACAGTGGCCATTAATAAAAATAAAAAAAACTATTATTGAAAGGTGAATGAAATTTTTCATCATTCATATTACATACATGCACATGAAAAATATATTCATATCAAATTATAAAAACTGCTAATTGCCTTTAATAACAGCAGTTTATCAATCACATTTTTAACATGAACTTTGATCGTAATAGGGCACTGGAATTTGCTGATGACGTCATCCACTGATGGGTTGACTAATGGTACAGGTAAACAGAGGTAATCATTAGTGGGGCTACAAATGATACCAGAATAAGCAGATATAATTAAAATATTCACCATTTGCAGGCCAAAAAATGAAAAGGTTAAATTCCAACGGCATTTGAAAGATAGCACTAATTTTAATAGAACTTCCTTCAAAACGAAGGGGCTTGAAAATGTCTTTTTGTGGGATTTTAGGGATTGCAATAATTTCAGTAAATAGTCTGATTTTCAGAACCGTTTACCGAATGGTGTACGTTTTGTGCTGCGCAAAGATTCAATCAGTTTTATTCTAGCCATTACAAGAAGTGGTTTATTGATCCAAATGCTCATTTTATGTGTGTTATTACCAAAGAAAAAGTCAATCAGTCACTCGAAACAATGTCTGACATTGAAGTCTACAAAGTAAACGTTTTTCCATGCACAATTTGAATACTAGAGCACTGCTAACGTTTAAATTCCACAGATAGGACATACATGTACGTGACATATTCTTGATTTCTGCAAAGTTCTACAGAATTTGATGTTGGCTGCAAATGGGAGATACATGAAGTACCTTTATCACATTCAATTGAAATTGCATTGATTTTTAATAATGCACAGGCATTAAAGAGAGTTTGCAGCATATACATGTAAATGTATTCCTTTTTTCTCACTGGGGTTGGAAGATTCTATTTGAGCCCATTGTATGCATAATGCCTTCAAATGTTCCAACAAAACTAAAAACTTAAAGGTATCAATAAAATTGTAAAATTAATTCATGTTGAGCCTATCTCGCTGGTAAATTCAATGATTATTTATAAGAAGATTTCAAGCAGAAATTTCCTCCAAATGTAACGCGAGTTATACAGAATGGCTTTTAATTACCTAATATGTTTTGGTAGTATACACTTCATTAATTTGCAGCAATGTACAGGTGTATAATGCAATCGTCATTAAACGCAATCATCTCACATGATTAAACCTTTCTTGCTTCAATGGATAATTACAGAAGGCCAAGGTCCATTCAGGTGGACTCCGTTCTCTTGATCCATTGGTTTATCACAAGATTAATGACGTCATAATAGCCCTGTTCATACATTACCGTAAATCTACGTGTATAAGGCGCACCCCTATTTTGGGGGCAAAAAAAAAAAAAAATAAATAAATAAATAAATTAAAAAAAATAAAATCGTTTTTTGTTTTGTTGTTGTTGTTGTTTTGTTGCCGAAAACCCATGCGGGGAAGGACCTTCATTTTATATCGAGGTGCAGTTGAAGTTGTGAACTTGTCACAAATAATAGTAACAATGTCGTTGTAGAAGAATGTGTAAGATCATTAATGTAAATTAAAAACAGGTCCATACTCTAAGGCTTCATGATACCAAGTGTCCCACACCAGCCTCATCACATCACCTAGCAGAAGCACTATGTTCTATGCCAAACATCAATAGTCATGCATGATATGAATAGACAAAAATTGAGGAATTATTATTATAAACTACATCTATTAGAAAGGCGCACCCCCGACTTTAAAAATTTTTCGGCGGCAAAAAAGTGCGCCTTATACACGGAGATTTACGGTAATACAGCAACGATGCTAGGATCTGTAAACAATTTCCCATAGCCATTTCCCATCCCAGAAAGGCAATATACCACAATGCTACAGCAATATCCTGGTATTGCCTAATGCATCCTGTACATTGCAGTACAGTTGGCACTTGCTGCAGTAGATTTGTATTAATGCAAGTCCTCTGAAGTGGTGTTGGTTGATCACATGATACATGACATCACAATAGAAATATGTTGTCATATCTCTGACACATGAAAGATAACCCTCGTGTAATCATATGTAAATATGATAATTCAGATACCCTAATTTAAATACAAACCTATGAACCGGGACCTATATAATACAAGCTTTGCTTTTTAGTAGATCCCCACTTTATTGATTGATTTATATGATTGTATCCTCTGTTATAACTATTATCATGTACATTATGTTTTCTATATTGTATGTTTAGTTATAATAATTACTAAGTTCATTATGTTCAATTATGTTACCTTTGATAAAGTGAAATAAATGAACTTGAAACTTAAACATGACAGTTACAGAGGCTTGTCCACATACGATGACATCACAATCACATGATACATGACATCACAATAACAGTGTGTTCTCATCTCTCTGTCATATATATATGACAGTTACCGAAGGCTTGTCCACATACGATGCGCTAAAACTAGCTGCAAATGAAATGTGAAGCGCTTATACCAATTTATGTCATAAAGAACGGCCTGATCAGTATAATTATGAATCAAGCGTTCTGCTCCAATGCACAAGCCGCGAAGTGTTGCTGCTCTTCAGCTAATAAATTGATTAATTGATTGATTGATTGGTTATTTTGACCCCATTCCTAAGAAAGCACCGTATACAAGGTATCTACAGTATTGCTGTATTTGGCCTTGGTACATTGTATACCCAAGAGGTTGCCAAATATAGCAATATTCACTATTAGTCAGTGGCAACGTTTATATTTGAAGTTGATTGTAAAATATTCACAGTGTATTCGCAAAAAGTTGATTCTGTGCAATGTGTCACACATGACATTATCTCTGTTATTTAGCTGCTCTGGGCAAGGACAATATACAAATAATACATAGCAGTGAGGCATTAGTAAGAATTACCCACACGAGGTACCTTCAAAACAGTCCGAACACCCTCGGCTATCGCCTCAGGCTTGTTAGACTGTTCCAAAGGTACCTTGTGTGGGTAATTTTACTAATGCCCGAACACAATGATGTGTATTATTTGTTTTATAAGAATATGTTTTATAACATGATTTTGATAATGACCGGTCATTATCCAAATTACGTATTAGGCAAAATAAATGCATATTTACATGTAAGTGTACACTTTCAACCGGTCATTTGATTAGGATCCACGTCATCATCTTATAAAGCCAGATACCCCTTTCATAGTGCTTCTATTGGAGTCGCACTGGTGAAAATACCGATAGAATTTGCCTTGAATGTAAACAAAGTTTGAACCACCCGTCTCCCTGCTCTCTCTTTCATACTGCCGATGAAATTCACTCGCTGTGCCGAGCTCCGGCAGGAAGTGAAGCATTATTGCACAATCGCTTGTGAGCTGCTTGAGCAGGAGAATTTCATCGCCTATTTCTCTTCTTTTCATCTGCTATTCTATCACCTTTTTCTCTTCTTTTCATCTGCTATTCTATCGCCTTTTTCTCTTCTTTTCATCTGCTATTCTATCGCCTTTTTTCTCTTCTTTCTTCGGCTATTCTATCTTCTTTTCATCTGCTATTCTATCGCCTTTTTCTCCTCTGAACCTTTCATAGTGGCCTGATTTTCATCGGATGCATCCAATGAAAATCAGGCCACTATGAAAGGGGTAAATAGAGTCTGAGTCTGTGTCTCTGCAGACTAGATGAAATAAATTTGATATTTTCAAGTCTTTTCAAGATTCAGTGCATAGGAATCGCCCAAATGAGCTGCAACATATGTGGCTACTTTGCAGATACATGCAGCACATGTAGCTACGTGTGGCTGGTATGAATGTGTTCATCAAATAAAAAATGTATACATCCTTACCTGATATACCGCTATCACTGATCATGATGATGTCATACTTTGATGCCTTGTATCCTGGAAGCATATTGTTGACCTTTGGGTTAATGCCGACCTTTGACCCACCTGCAGATGTGTGAGTAAGGTGTGTGTAAGAGGGGTGAGAAAAAAGGGAAAAAATAATCAGTGATATCATACTTGTGTGAATCATCATACATGCATTGTTTGCTTTTAGCTAGAACACTAGGCAAATTTACATTGCAGATAAAACAATTTGAAGAACCAACAGTTTTTTTTAAAGGTAAAGACCAGTTATGGTCATGCGATTGCATTGTGAAAGAAACGTTGTGGAATCGATCAGAAAAGGTTGATCATCTAGCATCTAGCATCTGCAAGGTTCTGGAATCATCAAAATGATAAGAAATTTGGCCCATTCTTCGTAAAGTTACAAGCACTATACACAGAAAGATGTATATGGGACTACCCTATATCTCTCACAGACCATGAGAGAAACAAATTTACCAAATATATGACTTAGTAGGCAGTTTCCCGGCAAATTTTTTATCATCATGTATTAGTCAAAACATATTCTTTCACATGATTGGTAATGAGAGCTTCCATTTCATTTTTTGAAATTGGGGCGTTTCCAATACTGGTCTTTACCTTTAACTACCATTTACAATCCTGGACAAACCCATAAAACACATCAGTGTTTATTGCTCTGGTTATTTGGTGAGTTGTGCGCATGCGCGTCTTGTCCCTGCGTCTGGATGCCATCGCACAGAAACATTGTTCAATACTGTTTTAAAGAAGAGTATTCTGGGGAATTTCACATATTTTCTATCTTTAAATACAAGCAGGCCTAAAATAATATAAACTGGGGGTGTTTTATTATTAAGCTGTTCGTAAAGTTACGCATGACTTTACGAATGACTTGTATATGAAAAGCCAAATGAGATGCTCAATCATTATTAACTGCATCAACTAAAGTTGAACTGTGCTGATGTAGATTAACATTCTTATTATAACAAACATTTTTAATGCAAAGTATATTTTTTAGCCATAATTTAATTGAGTTTATTGAAAATATCAGAAAAAACTTTGGGCATCCTTTTGGCACTTCATATACAAGTCGTTCGTAAAGTCATGCATAACTTTACGAACAGCTTAAAGGTAAAGACCAGTAATGGTCATGCGATTGCATTGTGAAAGAAACGTTGTGGAATCGATCAGAAAAGGTTGATCATCTAGCATCTAGCATCTGCAAGGTTCTGGAATCATCAAAATGATAAGAAATTTGGCCCATTCTTCGTAAAGTTACAAGCACTATACACAGAAAGATGTATATGGGACTACCCAATCTCTCTCACACGACCATGAGAGAAATAAATTTACCAAATATATGAATTAGTAGGCGGTTTCCCGGCAAATTTTTTATCATCATGTATTAGTCAAAACATATTCTTTCACATGATTGGTAATGAGAGCTTCCATTTCATTTTTTGAAATTGGGGCGTTACCAATACTGGTCTTTACCTTTAATGAAACATCCCCTATGTTTGATTGGTGCCAGAAAGACACAAAACAGTCTTAACCATCCACGCCCAAAGTGCCTGATGCACGAATGGTGCTGGCAGTGCGTTGTGTGTAATCGCTCTATAGGCCCGTCTTCACTATCTCGAGATTACCAAATATCCAGCTATTTGAACTATCCCGATCGCAAACTATCCAGCTAATTGCTTCTTCATTAGACCGAAGTAGCAAATTAGCTGGATAGTTGGTCGGGATAATATCCCAAGATATCTCGGTCTAGTTTGCAAAATATCCCACTATTTCCCAACTAGCGGGATAGTTTGTGACCGTCTTCATTAGACCGAAGTACGGAGTCAAATATCCCGATCCCATCATGCACAACGATTTCCGGTTTTCCGCGCACATGTGATCTATACCGCTCAGCGCCGCGCTAGTACAGCTAGTAAACACAGAAAACCGCAAACTAGACCGAGATATCTTGGGATATTATCCCGACCAACTATCCAGCTAATTTGCTACTTCGGTCTAATGAAGACGCAAATTAGCTGGATAGTTTGCGATCGGGATAATTCAAATAGCTGGATATTTGGCAATCTCGAGATAGTGCAGACACGCCTATTGTACTAGAGGGGAAAAAAACACTCAAGATTAAAATAAACAAAGATTTTATTATTAAAGTCGGCTGAAATCATCATCATGTGATCCATTTTGGTAAGTCTTGTGACAATGATGCTAGACACCATGTGCTGCACGATCAATCATTGTTGAGCAATGAATAATACAAATCCTTTCTTTGGAACTAAAAATAGATTATGATGTCACTAGTCACTACCAGTACCACTATGAGACGAGTACAACACAATTAAAATGCTGTACACACGTGTAGGCTATTAAAAAAAAAATTGAACACTACATTTAAATTCTTTAGAGGCAAACATAGACTTTCATATCATTATGTCACTACAAGACAGATATGAAAAATCATACTCTACCAAACAGGTTGCAAGTATCATTTTTGACGAATGAATCAATCTACATTTTTTCAAAAACTGAACATAATATTCTTAATTCTTTAAGAGTAAAATAGATTTCTATCTCATTATCACATGAAAGACATGGGAGACAGGATGTTCATAGGCCTACAGTAAAGGACCATGTCTAACGAGTAGAGAATTGATAAGACACAAATTGCAATTCTTAAAATGCAAAAACAGATTTTGATTTTTGATAACACAAGCACAATAATCAACGTACAGGTACAGTGTACATTTATAAGACATTAATAAACACACAAGTAGACTTCCTTTATAATTTCTCATAATTCTTCATGAATATTCAAAAAAAGTTCTTTGCATTTTCATTATTTTGAACAAAAATAGATTTCTACATTTTATCCCTATCTATTGCCTTTCACAAGACATAAAACATGTCCATGTTACATTCAGTTCATCCATAAAACCATTAACCTCAGTGCCTCCTTCATAATGTCTTTTCAGAGCCAGAAGGGTGTTAACTCTGTGCTAAAACATAGAGTTTATACCATTTTGGCTCCAAACGGACGATATTATAATGTATTTCATTAGAAAAGCAAGCTGTGACGATCGGGGACATCTCGATCAGGCATTGATGAATGGTACTCGTAGGCATGTTTTTACCGTATTTTATGAGACAAATTAAGGAACCTGTGTCGAGCGGGATATCTATCAGACAGTGACGGTATATGTGCATGGTACGGGTAGGCACCTTAGAGGTACTACAGATGAAGCGATGCATCTCATAGCTTTATGGAGGCTCAAAACAGAACACATTGTATTTTGTGAGAGAAGTAACGCATGACAATCAGAATAACTCGATTGATCAGCCCGTGACAGTATTTATGGTACTGGTAGGCACCTTTCAGACGCAGATCAAACAGTGTCTTTCATAATATTTTTCATAAATACAATGTAAACATGGGTACCAGACAGTGCCAAGCATGCACTGCAGTTAATAGCTGAATTACTACATTTTTCATTTATTACTCTCTCTCTCTCTCTCTCTCTCTCTTTAAAAAACATCAAAAATATATATTACTGTACATACATGTACATGTATATAACAGATTTAAGAGAAGTGGTAAATTGTAAAAGCTAAAGTGGCTTGTTCATAATGATTCTCTATGAAAACAAAACAAAATTTAAGCCACATACATGTACATGTAATTATATGGTAAACATTACAAATTATATTATATTTGTAACTACGGATAGGACAGAAGAAAGGTAGAGAGAGAAGAGAAGAGAGAAATCACATTTCACTTGGTTTTAATAAAGTCAAAGTGTACACATATTATTCAATTTCAATTAAACAATCCTTATATTTAAACGTTTGATATGTTATAATATTTTGCATTTTTGAATGTCCTCACTCAAATTATTGCAAATAATTGGGCCATGAAAAAGCTCTGGGAAGAAACTATATTTTCTCGAAGTTTCAAAAGTGGTCTTGTGTGTGTAATTAATTTTTTTTACAGACGTGTATCAATCAGATATGAATATTTATGTCTGGGGACCGACTTTTAACGTCACCATCTGAAAGACATGAATCAGTTTTTAACCTGTGTTTTTGGCTGAATCAGTTTGTAACATCCATTGTTAGCTGGATTACAGCCGCATGCCACAATGCCCCGTTAAACGCATGTGGTCTTTATATACAGTGTACACGTTCGTTTTATAGTACATGTGTTTACATTTCAATGAAAAATCTTTTGCATGGGAAACTGAAAAAGTTTCTATACAGGTGATTACTAAAGCACGTTTCACTGTAATTAAAGTTGGTGTTTTTATAATGGTTTTGGCCTCTGCTGGCTCCTCCACTCAATATTCAATTTTATTTCACGTAATACTATTATTTATCAATATATTTCATTTCATGTACTGTACATGTACATGAACCTCACCCAACTAAAGCTGTTATGAACTTAGTTTACCATTACTGTATTAAGCTGTCTATTAATGTCTTTTTTGTAAATTGATCTCTGTAAACATATACCAGCGAAAAACAAATTTCTGAATGGACAATAAATACTTAATTTCAATATCAATTGTTGACTTGTAATTGAATACCACAAAGCAATAGTCACTGCGTCTGCAATGCATGCATCGACTGTAAAAAACTAAAAAATCACACTTGCACAAGTGGAAATAAAAAGGTTCCCATGAAACAAAACAGTAATTTTGAACAATCTGGCTTTTTAAAACAATCCTTTCATGCTGTAACATTGGCATCATACACTGTTCATGTGCATGCCCAGTGTACTATCTGTATGTACAAATGTAGCTACATGTACATGTACATGTATTATACATGTATTTATGACTCTAGGCAAATACTGGTATACTTTTTATTTTTTATGTTACCCCAAGAAATTGCTGAATTGAAGTTTGAACACATCACATGGCCATCCCATTTTGAGAATGATAAATGCTGGTAGGTAGGCCAACTAGGCCTACATGAAGATGCTACATGTATACTCCCGTCATTTGACGAAAGCTACACGTACTGTACAACTGCTTGTCTCATACTGTACAGGTCTGTTACCAACCGCATATAGACTGTTAATTCAATTCAATTGAATTTCGGTTTTATTACAAATATACCAAATAAAAAGTCCAAAGACTAACAATAATTGGCTCGCAATGTATCATATAAAATGCATTAAATACAGTAGATTTAAAAATTCAGTAATAAGTTAAAGTACATTGCTCACATTGTATCATATAAAAATGCATTAAAAACAGTCGATTTAAAAATTTAGTAATAACTTAAATAACTTAAATAACTTCAGTAATAACTGTTCAGACTACACAGAATTTATATGAAACTCGTACACTACTACACTGTATGTACATGTATGCATGACGTATAAAAAATCACCGTGAAGTGAAAGGAGCATACAGACTAGGAAAAACCATTGTATAACATCACATGGAACAAGTCTTGAAGAGGTCAACTGGCATGACACCTGGCCAAGCAACAGTGCATACTCTCGATTATACGCCCGTTATAAACCAGCTATTAGATTTTCATATGATACCACGTCCAGACTAGAGCTACCGAGCGGGATCCTGATTCTTTAGCATTGGTTTTGTTAGTGAAACAATGCTCAAATAAACATTTTGTTGCGCTATACATTTGTTTATGACGTTTAGACTTGGCAAAATTTAATTACTTATCATAAAGCTATGAGATTCTCTCATTGCTATACCATATATTTCAGAAGTCTGAACACAGAAATTGTGTACCTGAGGACTGTATAGAATGAAAGCCCTACTGCAGCTTGAATGAGACCAGCAAAGTGAAATCACACATTCGATGTCAGTTTACAATAACTACTAAATTATTCATACCCTTGTAAATTTGAGTTGTTTGTGTGTGTTTTGCGTAACTGACGAATAAATGGTAGACTGGTTGATTTAGCGTTGCATAACACTATTGCATCATATGTGACATCCTTACAAGTGGACATTACATGTAGGATAAAGAACCAATCATATTCCACGAATATCATCCAGTGTATTGAGGTCACCAGACAGAATTTGTCTAATCTCATTCAACTGTGACTGAAGCTGCCCCATTCAACGAACAGGTACAATAAAAGATGGACAAATGAGTGCGGCCATACTGGACATCTCGTTATCTTTCAGACACAAAAGATAATTCTTTGCTTCGGACATCCTTGAGAATATGAAGAATCCCTCCCCTCAGACATAAAAAACCATTTACTCCTTTTCTGGGCCCCTGGCATAAAACTTACCATTGATGGTAACTTTGCCATCAATGGCAACTACCATGGTAACAGGGCTCAACAGCCAATCAAAATCAAAATCAAGATTGTGCACACAGTGTGTGCAAGCAAGCACTGAATCCAATGACCGGGGTAATAGTATATTTGTAAAGCGCTTTTTATAGAGACATTGTATTATAAAGCCGAAAGCGCTATATAAAAGCTAAATATTATTATTATTATTATCATTTCCATGTCAGTTACCATTGATGAAATAAAATGCAATATCTTTGTTTACCTTTCTGTTGGAAATGAAATAAATATGAATATAAATATGATGGCAAAGTTATCATCAATGGTAAGTTTTGTAAAACAGGGACCTGGTCATGCAATTGTAATATGAAGGGAAAAGGTTGATCATGTAGCGCATCAGTACATAAGTATACTGTCAGGTTTGGAAACATCAAAATGATAACAAATTGGCTCAGTCTTGCGAAGAGTCACATGAACTGTACACAGAAATGTCTACACGGAACTACAAAAACATAAGACATGAAAATTGCATTCCGCAACCTTTAGACGTTACCTGTCATAAAATGTTGAGTATGAGTGCATTTGAAGAGCCATCCTTTTCAGGGGACATATATATTTCTGTGATAATCTTCCACACTAACATGAAAAGAATGAAAAAGCTCACAAAATATTTGTCACCTTGCCAAGAACTAAACCTTCTCTTTACACAATTTTCACATAAGAGTTTATGTGCATACATAAGCCACATACTGTACAGTTAAATACAATGGTTAACATCATTATCTTTAGCAGAACGGCACAAGCAAACAGATTTCCAAATTAGACACATAATTATTAGGATTTCTGCTTCTATTGCCTTTGTGCCAAGCAGATGATAATATTATTATCATTTTGGCACTTACCTATAAATAATCTTGCGTCTACATGAGGGTATTTTTCCATGAGCGGCCTAACAACTTTTATTGCCTCGTCCTCTTCGTCTTGTATACAGATGAGCAGTTCAAACTGTTGAGACAGAAAATAAGAAAATATCTTTAAAATTTATGTGTAGTCTGAGGCCCTATTGAGACAGGGCATTTGTTTTTTCCAAAGGTTTCTTTTTTGAAGGTCTGTAATTCTGAAAATGATACACACACACGTGTATCAGAGCTGCCAACCTTGTACAACCAAAAAGAGTAACCATGATGGCAAAAAAAAGTAATTTTAAGCAAAAAAGGGGAATTCATTAAAACGAAACTTACAACCACGCGCGACACACTTCCAATGCAGAAATGTCTATTCCTCATGCTGTTTTTTCATATTAGGACCTATAATTTATATTCAAGTAGATATTTCGTTGTTGATATTTTCGTATTATCGGCGTTTCATTCTTTTCGAGAATATTTTTGTCTTCAAGTATGTTTTGACAATAGGTTTCTATTGAATTTGTGATTAAAATAACATTTTAGGGCAGTTGTTTGACGTGCGGTATGTAAAAAAAATTAATAAATAAATACAAATATTTAACAAGGGAAACGCTCTCGGCGGTCTCGCCTGCATAACGCAATTCAATATGATAAACCAGAACGTCAATGACGTAGCACTCATCCGCATCTCGCAACAACAAATATCGTAAATTTTATGTAGTACACTTTTGAACTGGTCAAAAAATTAAAAAATTTGATGCCCTGGAAGGGAAGTAATTCCATTTCATTTGCATGAAGTACCATAAATAATCAATGGAGCAAAATCTCACAAATCTGTGTAGAAGTTTAGTGTGCCAAATTTAGCTCTACCAGATAAGGCAAACCAAATCAAAATCGGTCAAGAAATGAGGGAAAAGAAGCAATTTTAGTTATTTTTGGAATAAATTTGCATAAATTACCATAATTAATTAATGGATAACAATTTCAAAATTCTGTGTAGAAGTTTAGTGTACCAAAGTTAGCTGTACGATATAAAGCAAACCAAATCAAAATCGGTCGAGAAATGAAGGAGAAGAAGACTTTTTTGTGATTTCGAATAAATTTGCATAAATTAGCATAGATAATGAATTTCACGATTCTGTGTAGAAATTATAAATCCCTTTCTTAGCTCTGTCATATGAAACAATCAGAATCAAAATTGGTTGAAAAATAACGAAGAAGAAGCATTTTGAAAATCTTGATGTTGATGCCACAACAAAGTCTAAGTTTGTTGACCTTAAATGACCTTTGACCTTAACTTAGTGACCTGAAATTCTACTCACATAATTGGGGCGACTTGATAACCCTATAGTCAAAGTTTCATTGACTAAGAACTTATACTTTCAAAATTATATCAAAAATTCAAAAACTTAACCTTAGGTTAAGTTTTCGATGATGATGCTACAACATACATGTAGTCCAAGTCTGTTGACCTGAAATGACCTTTGACCTTGACTTTGTGATCTGAAATTCTACTCACATGATTGGGGATACTTGATTACCTTATAGTCAAAGTTTCATTGACTAAGAATTTATACTTTTAAAATTATATCAAAATTTCAAAAACTTAACCTTAGGTTAAGTTTTTGATGTTGACGCCGCCGCCGCCGTCGCCGCCGCCGCCGTCACCGGAAAAGCGGCGCCTATGTCTCGCTTTTTGCTACGCAGGCGAGACAAAAACCGTACTACCGTAATTTGAAGGAAGAAACAGAGTAATTCCAGCGGAACAACGGAATGGTTGGCAGCTCTGGTGTAGGGTTCCGTTTTACTTTCCAAACTTGTGAACGTAGAAAATTGTGAACCCTATTTTAACTTCTGGAATTAGTAACCCTGTGTCATTTCCGGAATTTTCAGGAATTAGAAACCTTTACAATTTTGATCCTTTTGAATAATGAACATTTCAGATTAATTATTTTTAAGGAACCTTTGGCAAAACATCATACTGTACAGTGTAACACTGTACAACCAACCATTCAAGCATGGCACAGTCAAAGTATTAACTGAAAGAAAACCATTGCTGCAAAATAAAACCCTTTTACATGTAAAAGAATACGTTTCAAAATGCAAACATACAAGTACATGTGTAGGATCTTATTCTTATGTGAACTACATTATGTAATGTAAGTGTCTTGTGATTCAACAATTAGAATAACATGCATTCATACTGCAGTGCACCTAATTTATTGTGCTGCGCACTATGTTTGGTGTGATTATTATTTTTCCAGCAGTGAATAGTTTGAGGGGGTGGCCTAGTGTAACATGACTGAACAAGGCTTAGTGGATAATGCTTCAAGAAAATAACTTATTAATAATTTAATATTGACTTTCTTCCTTTTTTTTAATGAAAAAAGAAATTCCTGGATCCTGCATGCATCTTCATATGTAATTACTGAAAACTAATTAAAATATTGACACAAGTAAAGGGAAATGCAGTTTCAAACAGGAAAATCCTGTTTGATATAAAGTGAAGGGAATTCCAAACAATTGTTAGATATGAAACAAGACTCTGACTAGACTTGATATCTTGTTACAAGTGTTTTAATACATGATATTATTTCCCTGAAGATCTTGTGTATTTGGATCGAAGTCTAATGAAATGTTTATATTACTTCAGTATAAAATAAAAATAGCAAAGAAAATAAAGCTTATCTGCATTGTAGCAATAAACTGTAAATATTTATACATGTAAAGTATAACAGAGAAGATAGCTCATGAAGATAAAACTGTACTTTTATGTCTTATAATGTACTAACAGCATGATGGACAAATTCATCACAGGTTACATGTATATGCTTAGTTTTTAGCATCATGTATATTATGTTCAACATATTAGTACAAATCTAAAAAGTAGTTATATGCTTCAATCTAAAACTTAAACTGCCTAAAGAGATTACTGTAAAGCTTCAGGTAAAAATACTATCGTTGAATCTTGAATGCCGATTTTGTAAGTTTGAATTTTCATTGTATTCCTAATATGTTTTGTAAACATCTTTCATGTAGAAGGGAGTAACAAAATTCTGTATAATTATCATGATATCATCATGAGTTTGTTTTTAATGTTCTAAATGCATGTTTCCTCCGTATATCTAGCAGAATTGCAGGGTTATTTTACTAAACAATGATGCCAAATTTGCTCTTCACTAGCATAATTGCACAAATTTGTGTACAAAATGTCATGTATGGCTTTCATGTTGAATAGGCGTTTCCTGAATTCAATGGCCTTCTTTTCACCTCAATAAGACATGGAGTTAAAAGCTAAATTGTGATTTACTACCCAAGGCCTACATTAAAGGCTTTTGTAATGATGGGACAGGGATAGTTAAAGATTAACGCTAGATCAATGCCTTAATAAAACAGAGACATCTAGGTCCATTTACACTTTCAGGAGACCATTTTGAAAAACCCATGAAAATTGAAAAAACTGCTCATAGTCATACCATGTTTTTTTTTGGCGAGTAGTGCACATGCGCAAGGAGAGTCACGGGATGAATAACCTGTATCTCATCAAATTTGCTTTTACACTGAAAAAACAATGGTTAAAAAAACCACACTCCAGTTGTGGGTCTTTCAATTTTTATTTTTTCTGTCGCATTTGCAACTACGGCCGAAACACCGGATTGTGACAAAAACTGAGAAATACCTTTTTGTTGCAGTGTGAATGAAGCTAATGACAACAGATCATCATCAAGAGCTGCCCATTAGCTGCCCAGGATTTATATTCAGCGTAAACAACCCACGTAAACAACCCACATCCATCATAAAAAAGACTTTACGAGTCAATGGCTGCCCATCCATCGGCTGTGACTCTCGATTACCCCATGCTAGCCACATTCAATCCCACTTAAACTAGAGGGATTTGGAGAGAGCATTAAGTAAATCATTTTTGGTAATGATGGGAATCAGATTGTAAAGGTAACTTGTATGATATCAGCATGCTCCGGCAACCGTCTGATCCGTGGTCATTTCCTACATGTATGTACATGTGCATGTTTAGCTTCAACCCTGGACATACATTAACACTACACCAAAACCCTAACCTTAACATTAAACCTAACCTATCACCAACTGCAACCTTAAAGGCATTGCTTAAAGGGGAAGTCCACCCTGAAATTAAGTTAGTTTTAATAGGAGTAGAAAAATGAGAGAAACAAGTCAGTGAAAGTTTGAGCAAATTCCGATTAAAAATAAGGAAGTTAGGATTTTTGAAGTTGTGATCAATCAAACACAAATTGGCAACTCTATGACGTATCATGCGAGCTCAACTTCCATTTGCTCAGTACTAAAAAAATCTAAAATTTTCATTTTCCCTCAAGAAAAATTTCAACTAAATTTCAACTAAATGCACCCTAAATATAATAATTGCAAATATGTTTCTATACTCCCCCTGCAAGGAACAAATATATATTCCGTCATCAATAACGAAGAAAACATGATTTTATGGAATATTATGCACAAAGCAAATGAAGGAGAGCTCGTATAATAAGTCACAGAGTTGCCAATTTGTATTTGATTGATCACAACTTCAATAATTCATAACTTTCTTATTTTCATTCAGAATTTGCTCAAACTTTCACTCACCTGATTTTCTTATTATTCTGCCTCTATCGAAACAAACTTATTTTGGGGGTGGACTTTCCCTTTAACAATGTTTCCAGTTTTACAAATTTGAGATGCATGGCCCTACATGTATGTGTTATCAGTTTTTACCACACTCATTTTCCCCAATGGACTGTTCAAAACCATTTAGCAAACAGTCTTTGACATTTCTAATTCCAATCATAACTAGATTTGTAATACTTGTTTGGAACAAGTATAGGTGGGCTGGTCCAACTAAAACTTTAGCCAAAATGAATGGCACATTTGAGATAGCTAATTGTCTCAGCTACAACATACTCAAATTTCAGCGTAAACGAAGCTAAAACGACGGAGATATTGCTCGCAAAAGACGGAAATGTAGAATCCAGTTCTGAGAAAAACTCATGTCCCATAGAGAATACACGCAAAATGTGAAAAATTGACATTCCTCCTTTAATCGCAAAATTACGCCATGATGCTTTTGTC